TGCTGGAGGTCTCTAGTCCGTCCTTCGGTGCTCTGTGAGCGGGCAAAAAGAGGTGATTTCCCCCTGGTCTCTGCTGGAGGTGCAGAGTCCCACTGTTAGGGGCCCATGCTGGAGGTAATTAGTCCGTCCTTGGGGCTCTGTGAGGGGGCAGAGAGAGGTGATTTTCCCCTGGTCTCTGCTGGAGCTGTGAAAGAAACAGAGTCCCACTGTTATGGGGACATGCTGGAGGTAATTAGTCCGTCCTTGGGGCTCTGTGAGGGGGCAGAGAGAGGTGATTTCCCCCTGGTCTCTCCTGGAGGTGTGAAATAAACAGAGTGCTACATTTTGTAAATAGTGCAATATCTCCAGGGCGCATAACTGCACTTTACAAGCCAGAAATAATGTTTAAATGGTCGGGGAAAGTATTTTTAAATGTCTGGAAGAGAGTTTTAGACAGTCATTTTGCACGAAATCATTTAACATAGACGCTCTCCTGAAAATGCACAGAATATGTGCTTTTTCAGGAGACCGTCAATGTTAAATGATTTCGTGCAAAATGACTGGCTAAAACCTCGGAATAAGTGTTTGAAAAGCGGGGAAAAGTTGTTTAAAATAGTCTGATACCTCCAGGGCGCATCACCAAAAATGTACAAGCCAGGGAAGATGCCTGAATCCCGGATACTTTAGGTCTGTCACTTAGGGTGACCGCACCACTCCGACGCTCCCGAGAGTGGACGTCCATTGTTTGTAAGGCACCTAAGAGGGAAAATCTGCCACTTCCTTACAGAGCCCCTCCTCCAACACACACGAACGCGCACATGACCAATGAGGGCACGAGATAAGTGTGTGCACAGATGGAAGGCTGACAGGCAGGTAGGCCATCCAGTTATTTTAGCCGGGCCGGCTAAAATGATTGGTCGTGCTTTTTACAGTACTACGGCTTCCACAGATGACATTTTGTTATGGATTTTTTGTCAAAGCACTTCAGATATTCATTGCTATCGGGATGTTAAGAGCATTCCATGGAATATAACAAAAAGTGTATCTCGAGCCGGTTTCTCAAACTTACCTACCCTACCTTTAAGTACAGTACTTGAATACATGTACTCAATGACTTAACAACACTGAACCTTATCCAATAAACTTAATAATACAAAAAATAAACATTTATATTTATAATCTTGTAGTGTCTCGCTACAGGAACTCAATGAGACGTTATATGTCTTTGCCCCACGAATGTAGAACAGAACACAGGTTACTGTGGGCCGTAAACAAGGAACTTATTATACATCAATGTTCGTGACTCTCAAACACTCCGCTAAGGGTTTTAACAAAGAAATGAAATGTGTGAGAAGAAGCTTCTTCAATCACGGGGGTGATAACAGAGAGTGAAACAGAGGGTGGGGTGAGACCAGTGTTCGAAATGGGGGGGAGCCAGGGGGAGCTTGGCTCCCCTAAAGAGGGGGGAGCTCCCCTGAAGGCCGACTTAGAGATAAATAGGGGGAGCCCAAAACAATCATGCATATTTGTGTCACACAGATTAGAAATGTTGAGTTTCTGTAAATAACAGTTCTGTAAATAAATAATAGTTATTGTTCATTACAGTTTCTGAATATTTGTGAATATTTGTGAATATTTCTGGGTGTTGCCATCTGTACGTGGCGGCGCTGCATTCTTTACGCTACTTACGTTGCTATGGTTACGGTGGTGATGCCGGCGCGGTATTTGAAATGTTCATATTGATATATTTTTTAACTCTGGCTTTGTAATAAAAAATATGGCAAAACGAAAACAGCCAAGCCTCGCAGCTTTTGGATTCACAAGCAAAGAAGCGAAGGAGTCTAAAAATGACAACGTGAACGGAACAACTTTTAGTTGGCCGGCTGAAAGCGGCGTTAGGGTCGAGTTTGACAGCTCCACACCGAGAGAGAGGCCTGCCGATGCGGAGCCTGAAGAGGCTTCAACAACGGCCACAGCCGCCGGCGCCACCTGCACTAGCGAACCTGACGCTGACGATGCCCATGATGACCTGCCGTTTAACTGGACACAGAAAAGATGGAGTGAGTGGAATGAAAGGAATCCATGGCTTTTCATAAAAAATGTGGATGTGAGATTTGCAAAGCGGCAAAAAGTATATTGATCTCACTGCCGCTCACAGAAAAATCCACCGGAGTGCACCTTTAAAAAAAAAAACATAGGGCTCCCCCGAAAGCAAATGGGTAATTCGAATACTGGGTGAGACAGAGGGTGAGACAGAGAGTGGGGTGAGACAGAGGGTGGGGTGAGACAGAGGGTGAGACAGAGAGTGGAGTGAGACAGAGGGTGGGGTGAGACAGAGGGTGGGGTGATAACAGAGAGTGATACAGAGGGTGGGGTGAGACAGAGGGTGGGGTGATAACAGAGAGTGATACAGAGGGTGGGGTGAGACAGAGGGTGAGACAGAGTGGGGTGAGACAGAGAGTGGGGTGAGACAGAGAGTGGGGTGAGACAGAGAGTGAGACAGAGGGTGAGACAGAGGGTGAGACAGAGAGTGAGACAGAGAGTGAGACAGAGGGTGAGACAGAGGGTGAGACAGAGGGTGAGACAGAGGGTGGAGCAGAGATATCACAGAGAGAGAGAGACACTGCTGCACACTGACACACATGAAGACTGTGGGCCAGTGGCGTAACAAGGTTGTGATTGGCCCCGGTGCAAATATTGTTTTGGGCCCATCGCCCCAAACATAAGCGCACGCTGATGCGCTCACACACGCACGGACATACACAACCACTCAGAAGCGCCACATGTATAGGCTATCAACAACAGCCTGCCCTGGCCTCAGACCACCACAGCCTGACAACGGCACAGCGAACTAAGAAGAGGATTAAACCTGTTTCCTTGATGTTTGTTTCTGGGGAATGGGCCGGTAGGCCTACATAGACCGGTTGCTATAATATAGCTTTTGATCTTGGCGTCGGGGGTCTCAATAGCGCCATAGAGTCCCCTATCAGTTGGGGCCCTTGGGGGAACTGTTGGACCACCGCCGGGCACAGCCAAATCCAGCCTCTCCTCCTGGCTGGCTGGAGAAGAAGGTTGCACAGCCACGGCCACGGATACAGCTTCACTTGTGGAGCTAGATGGCAATGATGGTGGTGAGCTATCGTTAGCCTCCGGCTCCGGCTGCACATCAACATTGCTAACGTTAGCGCTCGATTTCGAGGACGATGTATGACAAAAAACGGTCTAATTTCATCAGTTTAGCTGTTACATCTCCTTGTTCTCTCTTGTCCTTTCTCTTTTGAGCGCTGCTCTTGTGCTTTGGTTTGCTGTACATTATAAATGCAAGCTATTACATTTTTTATAATGCTACCGAACTTGCTGCTGCTAGCTACAGTACAGTACAGGTTGATTAAACGGTTCGCTCGTCACGCAAGGTATCACATGACATGAAAGGGAGCAAGGTCATTGGACAGACAAATTACAAATTAATTTAGGTTGCTTGGTTACTTTGAAGACTGCATGAACCGGTCAATGCCATTGGGGCCCCAAAAAAAAATATGAAAAAAGAATATTAAAAAAAAGATATTATATTTTTTTTTTGCATGGGCCCCTTGCCGGCTCGGGGCCCCGGTGCGTTGCACCGGCTGCACCGTCGATAGTTACGCCACTGCTGTGGGCTATAACACACACGCATGCACACACACACACACACACACACACACACACACACACACACACACACACACACACACACACACACTGACACACATGAAGACTGTGGGCTATAACACACACACACACACACACACACACACACACACACACACACACACACACACACACACACACACACACACACACACTGCCAGCACGCTCAGGTCTGGACGGTGACCTTTGTGTTTGTAGGCTACCGGCCTTTAACCTAGGAGGTCACAATACTCAAAGGTGAATGGGTGCACTGTTTGCAGGTGGTCAGAGGTGTAGTGTGTTGTAGTGTGTTATTGTGTGTTGTAGTGTGTTATTGTGTGTGCTGGCAGTAGTATGGAGTCAGAAGGATCCATATAGAGACTATATAACCAGCACGGCCCCTAGTAGACCCCCACACACACAACAACACAGACTATAACACCTCATACCAACTATGTGCAATATGTGCAATATATATATATATATATGCTGTTAAAAACTGTGCAATATATACCGGCTGCTAAATCCTCAGAACTGGTGTGTATTTTTGTAAAATGTGTAACTTTTTTATTATTTTTGTATTTGGGAACCTATCCATGTGAACATATTTTGGGGGTGGACCTCAAATCCAGGAGGGTCCGGGGGCATGTTTTTTTTTTTTTTTAAATGTTGGAGTTAAATGCATCAATCTGGTGCATTTTGAGGGGTAAATAAAGAGACTAGATCTATGGAAACACCCATATGAAACAGATGCCACATCATGTAGACAGACAGTCTTGCATTCACAATATACAACAAAACAAAACAAATCGCCAGTCCGGGCCTGCCAGCAGCCCTCGACTTGCTACAAACTTAAATATGAAAAGGTTCAATTTACTACGCACACACACATCATCTCTACAGGCATAGATTGCGCAATAATGTATTGCGCACCTTGGAGGTGCAGTGCAGGCATATTGTCATTCAAGAGATGCGTTTTTCTTTTAGCCTATTTACCTCGTTAACGTAAATAATACTCATTACATTGACACATGCATTATTTGTGATTAAAATAATGGTTGTTAGTAATGTATTAGCGACCCCTGATTTCACTGCGTCCGTGGGAGCTCAGACCCCTCCTTATGGGAGCTCAGCTCCCATTGGCTCCCACATAACTCGAACCCTGAAGGCATCCTGATTCTGATTCTGATAGGAAATGCCATCATTGAATTACCTGCTGCGGTGTGACACTGCGCACCTGATCTTTATAATAAAGGCTGACAAAAGTCATGGCTTCTCCATCTCTGCTGCTGAGGCGCGCGATACAGCAGCAGAGATGCTTCTGCGCGTGTGGAAGTCTGGCAGGGCGCTGATTGGCCGAAGATGACATCATCCACTCAAGATCTATCGTTGGAGAGAGGATGAGCTCATCGCTTGGAAGTCAGTTAGTGCGCGCAGAGTGAGGACAGAGGACAGTCTGCAGCTGCTGTGGGATTCTACAGGAATATATCCAACACTTACAGTGAGTAATATGTATTAAGTTACATCGATATTTTGCGTGAGATAGAAAAACACAGCACATGTTCACAATGTGATTATGTTCACAAAAGCCTACAGGGATGACATGCAGTGTTTGTTGTGCTCCAGATATGGGTTTGTCCCGGGAGAGGGACGCGGAGACCCCCCTGTCACTCATCCTGCCGCGGCTCTACCTGGGGGCGCAGAGGGACGTGACGCAGGTGAGAGGACTGCCGGAAGTCTGTTCACATGTCGCACAATTATCCATCATCTCTGTAAAAACACTCGTTCAAATCCAGTGGTCCAATTTGTTCTAGGTAGGGCTGTGCCACATGCAATAAATTTCAGCAAACATCCCAGTATATGACTTAATGCAACAGCAAAAAACAGGAGTTTTCAGTGTTAATTTACCAGTCTTACATTTGAATGCCTCCATAAACAAGCATTTGAGACTGAGGACTATGTACAAAAACTTAAAAACAATGGCATTAGCAATACCTTCAAATTCGAAGTTTTTTATTTATTTCAATTGTTTCTACTTTGTAGATTAAGACTGAAGACATCAAAACTATGAAAGAACACATATGGAATTATCTAACAAAAGAGTGTTAAAAAATCCAGAATATGATTTTTATTTTAGATTCTTCAAAGTAGCCCCCTTTTGCCTTGATGACAGCTTTTGCACACTCTTGGCTTCTCTCAGTCAGCTTCATGAGGTGTAACCTGGAATGGTTTTCAATGAACACGTGTGCCTTGTCAAGAGTCAATGTGTGGAGTTACTTGCCTTCTTAATGTGTTTGAGACCATCAGTTGTGTTGTGCAGAGGTAGGGTTAGTGCACAGGGGAAAGCCCTATTTGACTACTGTTGTAATCCATATTATGGCAAGAACCACTGAACTCAGTGAAGAGAAATGACCGTCCATCATCACTTTAATAAATGAAGGCCAGTCGATCCGGAAAATGTCAAGAACTTTGAATTTATCCTCAAGTGCAGTCGCAAAAACCATCGAACGCTATGATGAAACTGGCTCTCATGAGGACCCCCCGGGAAAGGAAGAGCAGGGGTTACCTCTGCTGCAGAGGATAAAGACATCAGAGTTACCAGCCTCAGAAACTGCGAATTAAAGCACCTTTAATTTTCTGGTGTCACTGTTGGTGATTTATTCAGAATTCAAGGCACACTTAACCAGCATGGCTACCACAGCATTCTAGCCAGCAAAATAAAAATCATATTCTTGATTTTTTAACACTTTTTTGTTTACTAGATAATTCCATGTGTTCTTTTATAGTTTTGATGTCTTCAGTATTAATCTACAATGTAGAACAAATAAATAAAGACTTAGAATTTGAAGGTGTGTCCAAACTTTTGACTGGTACTGTATGATGTATACAAGGGTGTAACTTTGGTTTGAGAAGTGGGGGGGACACAAAACAGGGGGTCCTCCGCAATGAAATATTTTCTCAATTTAATTCCATTTCCTGCCTTTCTACAAATATATTAGGGACTATAGTGTTAACAAATCCAAGAAAAATGTGTAGTGTATATAATGAGTGTGCACACTTATCTAGTATCCTATCCATGTGAACCTGTTTTATTTGTGATTACCTGACATCCTCTAGGGGGGTCCGGGGGCATGCACCCCCGGGAAGATTTGTTTCTTTAAATTGAAGTTGAATGCATCAATCTGGTGCACTTTGAGGGCAACATTAAGAGATTTATGGATACAGTTCTCAACACTCATATGAAACAGAACTGTATATATTTCAATAATCAAAAAGCCATTAGAATATGCTCACAACCAATAACAAATCATTGATAAACTCCTCTCTCCTATCTTTATCTTACCTAGTCTGCATTTTTTCTTTTTATTTATGCATATTTGACTAATCACTCCCCTTTCAAACTGTGTTTTTTATTTTTGTACTGACCTATAGTACACATTGGAAGGATTTCTTAACTTATTTTATATACAACTATATATTACATAGATGGAAATATTTGTTTACATAGATGACCAAACCGTTTGAGACCCACTGAGATAACTAGACTAAAGTTTACAACCTAATCACTCAGAGAGTCCTTTACCTCCCTGAGCTGACGTTATCTCTCTCAGTCCGACAGGAGAGGACTCTCCCTCTCCTTATTGTTGAAACAGCTACTAATCTCCATTAGCTCCGAGCTAGCACCAAATGCTAACAACAACCCCCGTAACTCTCTATGTCTCTCTCTCTCTGTCTCTCTCTCTTTCTATCTCTCTCTCACAAGATGCGCTCGTGCCACACACACACACAGACGCTCCTCCGTGACGATGACCGCTTGCGTAAAAAAAAAAAAAAAAAAATTAAAAGTGGGGGGGACACAAATGGGATTTTGAAAAGTGGGGGGGACATGTCCCCCCTGTCCCCAGTGGAAATTACGCCCATGGATGTATATATATATGATATATGTATATGTAGGTATATATATATATGTATATATATTACAGAACAACGGTATAATCAACAGTAATACAAAAAGCTGAAGATGTACCAAACTAATAATAATTGTTCTTATTCTTAAAATCAATGTGGTGTACGTCTTTGAAGTGCCTTTAAAAAACGCTGGCAGTCTTCAGGTGCTCCTCCAGCACAGTGTGCAGGAAACTAAATCCACCAATCCCCTGAAGATGCCAGGGTTGACTGAAGAGTCAGTCTCGTCATGCCCACGCAAAGCCAACTCAAAAGCCCCACAAAACTTCATTATTTTGGATAAAATATGCCTGTTTTATCCACCTCCTCATTGTGTTTCCGCAATCCTGTGGGCGTCGCCCAGCTGCGTAGCAGTTGCTTACTTGGGGCGATACAATAATCGCCCCTCTTGTATTAGTTTTGAGGACGCTGATTGGCTACATTTTATGACACACGTTCATATCTTGAATCAGCAATTGGCTAACCTGCTACAGAGACCCGCCTCCTTGGGGTGATTTCTCCATCGCCCCAGCACAGTACTTCAGTCATACAGTGTATAGGAAAAGTATATATTTTGCGCAAATTATTTTAAAATCATATTTTACACATATTTCTGGGTGCATTCTATATTTTAAACACACAAATATTGACAATGTATCTATTAGTATTATTATTATTAATAATAATGTTTATGTGTGTGGTTTAGGTAGGGCGGCGCCCTATCGCCCCCTATGGCCAGCCGCCTCTGTATCAAATCCAGTCCAATCGAATAAATACTGCATACTAAGTTGTACACTTAAAAGTAAAGTATTTACCCCTGATGGAAGAAGCAGGAAATAATATTCACTACGCTGCACACAGATCCTAAATAAGGCTGTGTGTGTGTGTGTGTGTGTGTGTGTGTGTGTGTGTGTGTGTGTGTGTGTGTGTGTGTGTGTGTGTGTGTGCGCGTGTGTGTGTGTGTGTGCGTGTGTGCGTGCGTGCGTGCGTGCATGCGTGCGTGCGTGCGTGCAGGAGCGGCTGGCCTCTCTGGGGATATCCTATATAGTGAGTGTGACCCGCTGCAGCCCCGAGCCGTCCTTCCTGCCCCGCTCCAGATGTCTCCGGGTCCCCATCGATGACTCTCTGCGGGCTGACTTGCTGCCCTGGATCCCCCAGGCTCTAGTCTTCATCGGTCAGCACGCTCACCCCCCCCCACTGTGAACAGAATGCTGCAAGCTTATCCCTCTATTTTATAATCCGTATGCTTTCAATATACATGTCCACATACTGATCGTGCTGCTGTATCTGTGTGTGTGTGTGTGTGTGTGTGTGTGCTGTGCTCAGACGCAGCGATGTCCTCCGGAGCCTCTGTGTTGGTTCACTGTGCGGCGGGAATCTCCCGCTCCCCCGCTCTGGCTGTGGCCTACATCATGTACAGCCCGGGGATGGACCTGGACCAGGCCTACAGGTACCACACACACACACACACACACACACACACACACACACACACACACATACACACACACACACACACACACACACACACACACACACACACACACATACACATACACACACACACACACACACACACACACATACACACACACACACACACACACACACACACACACACACACACACACACACACACACACACACACACACACACACACACACTGCAGTCTGATCTGAGCCGTCATTCATTCTACCCACCAGCATAGGCGTCCTTTATACTGGGGATGCATGGAGACCCCACCACTTTTGGAAATGGCCTATTTTTTCCACCACCTTGCATCAGGACTGTTTGTTAAAATGTTTGGAAAATAGCGTGCACAAAGAACTGTACACTTTGACAAGGTTATTTGCACAAGTACAATCTTTCTGGGTGTATGTCTGGTGACCCACGTGGTGCAGTTTGGACCTGCGACACCTGCAATAGTAATAATGGAATAGAGTAGAGAAGAGATTTGCAGCAGCGTAGCATAGTCACTGTATGTATGTACATTTGTCTACAAGTTGGCGATCATTTTAACCCTTTGAAGCCTGCAGCAAAATGTCACCCTTTTTACTGTTTTCTGCAAGGGTGCCTTGCTACTGAAATTACAAGTGTGTGTCGCTTTTGATGTTGGTGTGTGTGTGTGTGTGTGTGTGTGTGTGTGTGTGTGTGTGTGTGTGTGTGTGTGTGTGTGTGTGTGTGTGTGTGTGTGTGTGTGTGTGTGTGTGTGTGTGTGTGTGTGTGTGTGTGTGTGTGTGTGTGTGTGTGTGTGCGTTTGTGTGTGTGTATGGGCCTAATGTGAAACGTGTATTGAGTCCTCACCACAAGGGATTTCTTTTCAGTTCTGAGAATAAAGTCAGAATTGTTTTCTCAGAACTTCAACATACAGTTTTGCTCAGATTTAAATAAATATTGAACATGTGGCCCTAATCCTTTTCCATAATTACAAACACATTTAACATTTGACAGTGACATGTTGTCTCCATCCGTGTGTGTAGCATTTGTTGTACATTAGAAGGCTCCAGTACATTATCTAATTATGCTAAACAATAACTTCAAGAATTCCTTTATTTGTCCCACAATGGGGACATTTACATTGTTACAGCAAAGTATAGATTGATACGAAGAAGGTCAAGAAGTAGGACACTATTATATAAAAGGCATGCATATAGTATTTAAAATAAAAATTATTACAATTTACAGAAGTACACATTCAGGAAGATAAGTAATACAAATTAAAATAATACACACATACTGAGCCAGAGAGCATTGAAAGGATGTTCAGAACTGTCGTCCTGCTTTCTGTAGGGCGACAGCAGCAGTCCGTTTGGATTCACAGTCAAATATAATTAATTGACCCAAAGTCACAGCAAAGAAAGTGTCAGTGTTCATAGAAATTTCTCTAACCAGCTGTGCAGTTTCACCCATTAGTTTATGAAATGTAGAGTCCGTATCACTCATGGATCTCCAAACAGAATGTTTCTCTCTTCTCTCTGAAACTGAGAAGAGTTTCATGAAGACAAAGATTGACAAAGTTGACATTGAAACACACATCAATATGCAAAGAACATAAAAATAGAATATTTTAGTGGTAATATTGAATTTTTCAGTGTTCAGTTCCCTGCCATTACTTGTTTCTAGGCTAATGTTTTCAGTTCAAAGCCTTCCAAAATGTAACTGTGGGCTATGCACTCCTCTGTGGCCATTCACATGTTGAGTTCTGAAGAGGATACGTTCCTTAACTGTTGCACTCTTTATAATAATACTGATGTCTAACCACACCGTGGATCATTGTTGAATATCATGAGTGTGTGAGCCCTGCAGACCAGAGGCCCTAACCACTTCCTGTCTCTTTATCAGGTTTGTGAAAGAGCGCCGGCCCTCCATTTCCCCCAACTTCAACTTCCTGGGTCAGCTGCAGCACTTCCAGCGCACTCTGAGCCAGCAGCAGCCGGACCCTCATCTGCCCTCAGCAGAGGAGCAGGGGCCACACAGAGACAGAGACTCAGCAGAGGAGCAGGGGCCACACAGAGACTCAGCAGAGGAGCAGGGGCCACACAGAGACAGACCCCCGCAGAGGCCCTCACACTCACAGCTGTCAGGGACACTTGACACTTTTAATTTGACTCTTAATCAAACTCAGCAGCAAGTCCACAGGCCAGGTGAGGGTCCATCTGTAAGCCCCTGTGAGCCTGTCACACCTGCAGTAAAGCCCACAACACTACAACTCCCAGCAGCCTCTGCTTCTCTATTAGAGAAACGCAAAAGCCTCACCCTCCGTCTCACCCCTTTGGGCTCCCCAGCAAGTTGCAGCCAGCAAGCAAAGTGCAGCTCCACACCTCAAACTTTCCACAGCAGTGAGCTGGGTACCACACGGCCCCCCAGGCACAGGGAGCAGGCCCCCCCCCCCTCAAAGTGCAGCACATCAGAGATGAAGGAGCAGGGGCTGCTGACCCCCTTCAGCCTCACCCTCAACAAGCTGCTGGGCTGGGGGGAGAGGATCCTGCTGGGGGGGCTGTTTGTCCCCCCTGTTAAGATGGGACAGCCTGCGCTGCCGTACAGGTGCTGAGGGTGCTGTTTCTGTTTGTGTTTGTGTCAGCATGTTTGTCAGATTAAAGCAAACCACCTGCAGGAGATCTGAGAGAACTCCTGTCTCCTATTTATTTATTGCAGAACTGAAAATAAGGATTATACTATACTAATAATAAACACCTACACAGTTGCATCATGTTGGCAAAATGTGACCTTGATAAGATTCATTTATGTAAAAAGACTTGCTGCCCACTTGCGTGAGATGTGTTTACTGATGATGATTAAACATGATATGTCCAATGTGTCTCATCTCCTTCTTATCAGTGCGGTTTAGAGCGGCACTTCCCAAGATAGATATCTAGTTTGTAGGTCTCATACGACTCATCACTATCATGACACCAGAAATACAAAAGTAATGACAACTTAAAGCAAGTATAAGCAATAAAATACTACCTCTGTTCTAAACCTTTACTTGCCTAAGAAGCCATATCTGAGCAGTGTTCTCTCTGAAGATCTCCCCTTTTTCCTCACATTCCACAGAACACCTGCGGGATGTGAGGAAAGGCAAATATATTGTGCAGGCAGGAGTGCAAAGGTAATGATGTGGTGAGGGTGTAGTCATGCAGACTTGTGTGCTGGTAAAATGGCCGGCAGGATTTTTATATGGTGCAATCTATTGGCCTGCAAAAAGCTCTACAGTGGGCCTAATGCCAGCTGAAAGAAAGATCCTCCATGTTCCCAGTAAAACATTTGAAATTCAGCATTTCAGAAGGTAATCAAGGCCAGATATCAAGCAGGTAAAATGCAGAACATCAGGGGCTGGCTGTGAGGGGTCAGTTTTATTGAGAATATAGTAGTGTAACCACTATTGAATGATTTCAACTAACACTACAAAGGTTTTGGATGTGGAAACCCCTTCATTGTTTTCGCTGATATTGTGCATACACTACATGTTCCTAAATGATAACGGACTGTACACAGAGATTACAGTAAACATTTAGTGTTTACTGTAATCTGAAGCATAGCAGACCGGAGGGATGGCAAGCAGTGAGGTTTTATTGTTCTATGGGGGACAAAGTTTAACAGTGCAGTGGAGATGTAAGTCTGTTTGTTTTTGACTTTCATTCTTGAGTATTATATTTTCTTTAAGAATGAAAGTGATTTACCAAACCGGTTGTTCAAGGGTTGTATTCCATCAGCTTAATGTGGCCATATCATTAATAAACTCATGCTATTATTTTATTAGCAGTCGTAACAAAAGTTACATTTCATCACATTATTGTCATTATAATTGCAGCATTCATTCTGTTTTAACTGTGTCATTGTTTTTATGGATATTGTGCTGCAGTCAGACATGTAGCTTCACGCCAGCGGCTGCAAGACTGCAGCCTGTTGGCGGGGGGCCAGAGAGAGGTATGTGCTGCCTCAGGGCAGCTTTCTCCAGCATCGAGGGCTGTACACGGTTTACAGATAACATGAATAGTCACTATAACCTTTCAAAGTTTACCATGAAGAAGTGGCTTCTCATTCTCAACTTACATGTGTTGTTCCAGCTCAAACATTACTGAAAAGTTTGATGGTAAACTAAGGAGACAACATCTGTTTATTTAAATAATGTCATATTATTATGGATAAATATAATGACAGTAAATATTTCGGGCCTCGTGCTGCTTTTCAAATGCGCGGGCCAGTCGGTTAAAATTATGTCACGGACACTCCACATGACCAAATAAGGAATCTGACACATGATGGTGGAATTCGTACCGATCAGATTTCACTTCTAATGAGAAGAAAGCTAAAGTGAGTGAAGTACCGACTAGTGTGTGTGTGTGTGTGTGTGTGTGTGTGTGTGTGTGTGTGTGCGTGTGTGCGTGTGTGTGTGTGTGAGTGAGTGTGTGTGTGCGCATAAGTTTCTCGAGGAAAAAGAAAAGAGGAAGCAGTCCCGCCCCCAGAAGAAGCTGGAGGTCGAGCAGAGAAGCAGAAGCAGCTCCACGGATCTGTTTTAGCCCAAAACCTGAAGCTAAAGCTCGGTTATTTTAGTCTTTACTTCGGCGGAGCGGCGGTGGACTCAGGGACTTTTGTGGCCAGGACTGTTAGGACATGAGCTTTAGTTAGAGGAGTTCCATTTTGTCGCTAAAGTCGTCCATGCCGCGCTCCTCTGCTCACATTCCGTGAAGAGGCGGATCTACTTTACTTTGGATTGTTGTGCTGCTGGGCGGTTGATCGGAACAGGGCCGGACCAGAGGCAGGATGAGTGCAGAAGAAGAACGATTCAAACTGGTTGTGGTGGGTGGGGGCGGGGTGGGGAAGAGCGCCCTCACCATCCAGTTCATCCAGGTATGAAACATCTGTAACATCTGTCCTCTGTACAGTTTGTGTGTGCCATGTTCAAGTCTTTGTTGAGGCCTACCGCCAGTCTGCTCTGCATCAGTGGTGAAAGTAACACACTGCACTCAAGCACTAGTTACATATTCTTTAAATTAGACATCAACTTTATCTGCTGCAAAATGTAAAAGACTGAACATCCATTTTTTTAAATCAAATGACATTTTGCATACTACTTACTGAACTTTTAAGTACATCAAGATTTGATGCTCATACCTCATGTACCACGTTTGTACACTAAAGTGTTATTACTTTCACTTTTAATACGAGATTTAGCCTTTTGGCAACATTGTTTTTTATTTACATCCCATAACAGCTTTCACCTCACCTAATACAGTTATGTGCAATCTGTCTACACAATACATTGAATTAAAGTGGACCTATCATGCTATATTTGAATAATATAGTATAGGACCATACCTATATAAGGCATATTTATACTTTTTTTTCAAAATACCAAACAGATCATGCATTTTAGCCATGCCTCATTTTGCTCAATTTGACATGTTTTAGCTCTGTTTTTGCAAGGGCAGATTCTGTGAGAACAGCACCCCCTACAGGCGCCTGGCATATGTACTACAGCGTCTCCAGCGCTTTCGAACGGCAATGGCCGTGGCTGTCTCCTCCTGATTGGTGGAGTTGGCCCAATAGCCGTAGCGTCAGGACAGTGTTCAAATCTGGATCAGTTTTTATCAGATCCGTTGCAGCCCCTTTTTTAGAGATTTGGGTATGGAGGAAAATAGAGAGGGTTGTGTTTTCTGACACTTGGTGAGTTCCCTGGAACACCGGGGACACATATTCATGTATAAAAGACGTACAAAAGTGCATTTTGCATGATAGGTCCCCTTTAATGTAAACGTTTCAGCTTTATCAGTGAAAGGAACCTACTCTGAAAGTTGCTCTGTTAAAGTATTTCATGAAGTAATCCTCACACAGAGGATGTTCCTGTAAGGGATTGGCTCTGTAGCTCTGGCTCACTTTAATTCACACATTGACTGTTAATCACATCACACCTTCATGTGTGACTTTGATTGGCTGCTCGTATCGCCTCACCACAACACAGAAGAGAACATGACCCTTTTTACCAGCTACGGGCAAGACCAGTAAAAAACTCAGAGTTATGAAGTGGTTCATGGGAATTCTGTCTTTTCGCTGAGCCAGATCATTTGGCTCAGCTCAGTGATGAGAGGGAGACCGTTCTGCTCTTCACTCCCACTTCTGGCTTTTATTATTGTGCCAAATGTTTTCACCTATGATTCATATGTGTGCGCACATGGTCCCTTTGTGTTCTGTTTTAACAGTGAAGGAACTTTTTTTATCCCCAACACGCATTCGCAAATTGTTATTTTGTATTAATTACAAATGTCATACTTCATCGTGCTGCTAGTCAATTAATTGTATTGCCCGGGCAGCCATTGCTCCAAAGAGCCACGTTTACCCAGTGACTGTGGCAAATGCAAGTAAACATACATTAACATTAAATATAACTTTTTCTAACAAAGCCAAAAATTAACTAAAGAACAAACTAGAACTAAGGTAAACCGTTGAGTGAATATAAAAGCGGACGATGCCACCGTGAGGTCGTCCTTTGGTTTGTGGACTTCTGTTAAAGAATTTGGCATTTTGTCAGACACAGGAGGGTTAACCTGGAGCAACTAACCGTGAACAAGACACATTTAGTAGACCAAGATGTTACTATTATCTTTCCCTGTTAAAGATTTCAACTCGTAGGACAAAAACACAGACAATTCCAGACCGGACTGAAACGTGGTATTGACTTGTCAATCACAAAGAAGACCGCCCTAAAGCATACCAATGCTATCATCTCATTTACTGCAAATGGGACCATGATTTACAAAATAAACATCATGCTGTATTGAAGAACATTTGAGATTCTTCTCATCGGCACACGGTCATTATAAAGAATGTTATTACCAGTATCATTAGGATTCTCCTTGACCATAACATACTTGTTCATTAGCAATTACTAATGTCCAATCTCCAACTGTCAGTATGGAGCCATGTACTTGTTGAAGTATTGAGCAGCATAAACAGAAGTACTTTGTTATTAACATTGAGTGTATCCCACAGTCCTACTTTGTGTCAGACTACGACCCCACCATCGAGGACTCCTACACCAAGATCTGCACCGTTGGGGGGAAGGAGACCCGGCTGGACAGTAAGGCTCGTACTTCTTAATGTTTGTCAGAGTGTGTGTACGGCTTTGTTTGAAACGCTGAGGGTGTGTTGCACTGTGATATGACACAGTGTTTGCTCTCTGGAGCTTTAATTCCCTTGTTAGGACTTGTACTTGGCCAGTGTGGAGGAAGCCAGGCTGGTGTTGGCTCACACTGCTGTCTCCCTACACACAAATGTGAATCATCCTGTGTACAGCTACTGTTTCCGGGACTCTGGCTGTTCTTCAGACCATTTGTTTACTGCACTGCGGATTGAACTCCACTGTGAGAACCCTCTGAATGTTCTCCCTTCCTCTTTACAAACATTACTGTCCACTCAAAGTAAAGTTAAGCTTCTCTGCTGAACTGAAGTATTATAAGCCATCTTTAAAAGCACTTAGATTAGTTATCTGCTACACAATATGTCTCAGAGTGATTTGTACACAGATGTAGCAGTGTGTGCTGTGGGTGGTGTTCAGGGTGACACACACACACACACACACACACAGATGCTCTGTCAGAGAGCTCAGCAGGAACATGTTAAGGTCCTGGGGCCTCATTTATAAAGCCTTGCGTAGGATTGGCGTGGGAAGGTTGCTTACGTAGGACAAAGCAAATAAATACGCACAGACACTTTCCGATTCATAAAAGACTGCGTACGGCACATCCTACGCCGGTTTCCTTTTATAAATCACAATCAACTCGAAATGCGGCGCAGCTTTTGCGGGCTTCACGTCACGCCCATAAATAGTCAAATAAACGCCCATTCATTCATTCATTTTGACTGACTGCATGAAGAAGATCGCAGGAAATGAGGACAGAACAGCTAAAAAAGACATCTCACACCGTGTCAGATTTTGGTTCTTTTGGGGAGGTGGAGATAAATCATATTGTTTGGTGGATGCAGTTTGAACCAGAGTAGCAGCATGGAGGTCGGATCGTCACCAACATAAATAAATAAGTGGTCAGAAAAAGGTTAATGACAAAGAAAATACACATAACCTTCCTCAGGCAGTGTGTTTGTACCGGGGACATGAGACCCCCCCTTGATGAGAAACTGTAAGAAATGATCGGGGAATCCCTCCGGAGTGGAGTCATGACGACTGGATCTGAATTATTTTGTTGTATTTGGTGGTTTGTGTTCCAGCTGTCGATCAGCAACTATATATCCATAATCCACCAGTTAAAGGAAATACAATGTGTTGTGTTATATTAGCTGTACACAGGGTTCCCGCGGGGTCTTAAAAAGTCTTAAATTTGATAATATGAATTTAAGGCCTTAAAAAGGTCTTAAATATGGCCAAAAAAAAAAAGAAAGGTCTTAAATATGATTTAGAAGGTCTTAAAAATGATCGGATTTGAAAGGTACTTCTGTGTTGCGATAGCGTCTAAATGTGTTTTGGGGGAAATGTCCGGGCTGCAAAGTAACCAGTATGGTAATAGCCTTTCAGTTCCCCCCAACAATTTGTATTGAAATAAATCAACATGGAACCAGTAATCACTAACTTTGTTTCCGCCGGCCCCTTATTGGAGAACACCCAGCTAGTAACCTAGCAACCAAGCTTCAGCTAGCGGCAGACAGAAACTCATGTATCTTCGAATAAATATGGGGAAGTGTAAGTTCAACCGTTATTGGTTGGAAAACATCGAATTTAGTGCTTGGTTGAAACCAGGGGAGGGGAACGTGTTTAAAGCCCGCTGCACCTTTTGCAAAATAAATTAGCGTTTGTTTGGCTAATGTAGCGTTAGCTAGTGCAGCGTTAGCTAGTGCAGCAGCTCCCGCAACAACACATTGGGACCTCCGGGCAACGTTTGGGTCTACGTCAACCCTAAAAGCGGAGGTGCTGTAGACGCTAAATACCGTAGCTAAACACCAATCATACAACAGCAACGATGAAAGATTGTAGCCAAGGCAGCAGAGCTCTGAATATAGCTCTTGTCACTCTCTCACACACACACACACACACACACACACACACACACACACACACACACACACACACACACACACACACACACACACACACACACACACACACACACACACACACACACACACACACTAGGGCTGCTCGATTATGGCAAACATCATAATCACGATTATTTTGGTCAATAATTGATATCACAATTATTAAATACAATTATTAATTGACTTTGAAAACATCCATTTATTGAACTTTAAAACAAATAATAATTTGGACAGTATCTTTTTAACTGTTGATTACCCTGAACGTATAATTCAACTGAAAAAATAAATTAAATAAACGATACATTTAAATAAATAATATCAAAAATAATAAATACCAATAAACAAGATCAACAAATATTTTGGAGCGCACTTCCACAAGCTACTAAACATATACAAATATGATAAATAAAAATAAATTAGACTAAAATTAATTAATCAAATATGTTGTAGTGCACTGTCACAACCTAGCAAAGCAAAATAATCGATTATGTTGTTTCGTAATTGCGATTAAAATATGATTAATTGCACAGCCCACACACACACACACACACACACACACAAGCACACAGAGACACACACACATACACACTTTTTGTCTAACACGCTAACACAGTTCTGTACTGTTATGCTGTTATGTTCAGTCATTGTTCTTATGTTGAACATGAATACATTTATGGGACGTATTTCTTCTTTCATAGCAATTTTCCTTCATACTTTCTTACCGTGAAATAGGTCTTAAATTCTATTCAAAGTGGTCTTAAAAAGGTCTTAAAAAGTCTTAAATTTGAGTTGGCGAAACCTGCAGGAACCCTGTGTACAATTTACCACATATGGTGTTCTTAGTTTCCATACCTCCTGTGTTTTACGAGCGACTTATCAAGTAGGCTATTGGCGAACGGCATAACACATGATTAAACATGATAGTATATAAAACCATGCTCGTATCTATACAACCTATAGAAATGCAAAACTGCGTCAGTTTAAAGTAATTCTGTCCTTCTGCTTACCGCATCATTTATGAGAATACATTTCTTAACAAGAGAACATAATCGAGGGGTGATCTATAACATTTCCGTATTTATTTATTTCTCCAAGTTATGTTTTTGTGTGCACTGAGGAGTCTCAAACAGGCGGTTGTTAAATCATTTTAATCAATTTGTGAAAATGAATTCTTCATTTGATAAATGAGGTAACATTTTATTTATGGTATTATTTCCACATCTTTCTCTCCATTATTCCTTCTGCCAACGGTGTCGCAGTTTCTCGTCTCTCCCGTTTTTGTGCTTAGGGTCAGAGTTTGGGTCAGTCAGAGTTTGCGTGGAGGACCGCACATTTTCCCGCCAAGTTAGTTTTTTATAAATCGCAAACATTGCGTAGAAACTGGCGTACGCCATCTTTTGAGCGTACGCACCGTTTATAAATGAGGCCCCAGTTCCTGCCTCATCACATCAGCTGCTTTAAAGGAAAACCTCAAAGACTTTGACAATTATTAAGATTAAATTAAAACATAATAACTTCCCAAATTGTGTCTCTGTTTCTTTATAAGGTATCTCAATGACTGATTTTGGTGCGTAAACCAACATGATATTATCAGTATTTTTGTCTTTATGAATGAAATTAATGGAATTCCTTTCCATTAGTTCTTTGTAAATGTTTCTAAGTAAACAAGTACATATGTCATTTTTAGCAACCATCTTTTAATAAGTAAATAGACTTAAAAACTGTAAACCAATTCAGTATTGGAAGAGTCTGTGAGGATTCTGGAACTATGTACGCAGTAACGGGAGCTGTTAAACTTCCAGCTGGTTTCTGAAAGAGGTTTATCAGAAAACATGCTCAGCTCTGTGACGTGAATCTTCTGATGGAGGAAGCTTACGCTGGAACTAAAGTGAAGCAGTGTGCCCTGCCCACTCCTACATGAGTCACCTCACACGCAGCACACCCTGTGATGACACTCTTCTGTGTGAATATCAAATATGGCCGACAGTCCGATATAGTATAGTATTGTCACATGTATTAAAATATTCAAAAATCACTTCATGCATCATCCTCAAGTCCTGTTTGGATTTTTGTTGGGTTGGTATTGAATCCCAGCTTCAAACTAACACTAACCAGCTCAACACAACTTCTCCCAGCATGCAGCACACCTACACATGCACCACAGGGACTGTTTTTACAGCTGATAGCCCTTAATTACCTGTTTCTTTTGGCCCCTACTGATAAAATAACTAATTATACAAGTGTTCTATTTTAAAAAGAAGATCATAACCTGCAGTTTATGTACACCTGACCTCACAAACACCCTTGAGCGTTTGTAGAGTATTTTGCCTCTTCTTCTTCTCTGTGTTTGCAGTCAAATTGTGAGAGAAGCCTTTCCTTTACCTCAGTGTAAAACTGTTACCGATGGCTGATGTTACCGGTGGCTGATTTTATGTTTGATTTAATAAAGTGTTGAAAGTTCAAAACATATAAGCACTTCAACAAATTATGACATAAGTTGTAAAATGCTTAATAAGCACCGTAACCACATGATCTGCATTTCTCGTCACCATCAGTTGTTTCCTTGAACGGCCGAATGTTGTGTCACAGTAAGGTTGCAGTCGAATTGTTCAAAAATCAGCTCCTATCGTCTTTTCCTATCCACTATCCCTTGACCTCTGAGTGAAAGGTCACGGGGTTAAGGGATAGTGGATAGGAGAATTCAAAAGGATTTAGGAGAAGAGACTGCGGTACTTTAGAGAATCAGACTGCACTTTCACTATCCGACGTGTTTATGATGCACCAGCGGACGTCATAAATGTGCGCCTGCTGCTGTGGGGAAACTATGGAAACTACAGTTTTCTATACAGTGGACTACAACATGGATGTTTAATAAGAACGAGGGACTACTGTAAACTCATCTAGAGACTCTGCACCGTGCTCTGATGCTGTTGTTTTACGCTTTAGGAAGGTGGACAACAGAGGAACATATACTCTTCATTAGGTTGGAACTGAAATAAGAAGTAAAGTGAAACTTATTGTTATCACTCCCCCCCCCCCCCCCTCCGTTCCCCACGTATTCATCCACATGAATCCCAATACGAATGACTATGAAAATATTTCAAAATCATTACAAATGTATTTATTATTAACTTGTTAGGCCTTAACCTATCACTGTGTATATCACCATTCAAACATGTTTAAAAGTTTAAGAAACCCCCAACATCTCAGTAAACACTGTGAAATGTTGACTTTATTTGATCAGTTCATATTTCTCCTTTGATTATTATAGTGTTGAATATTAAAAACAAAGCACCTAAGCAAGTTGCTGCATACGTTCTAAAATGCTGAATAAGCACCGTAACTTCCATGATATCATTTGTCGGTCACGATCGGTTGTTTCCGTGAACGGCCGAATGTTGTGTCATGTTAAATGTTGTGACCACAAGGTATTGTGGGACAGCATTTTCTCCTTTCCTTTTCGTAAAGGATGCTCCAGTGTGTCCTAAAGGAGATGACAAAGGAAGTATTGAAGCTCCTTTCCTATCATCTAGAAAATCTGAACCACCTTCTCTTTTATAGATGAGCCACTTCTTTAGTCACCGAAAGCATTTTGACTTTGTATTAATGTCTTAATTTCTCTCTCTCTCTCTCTCTCTCTCTCTCTCTCTCTCTCTCTCTCTCTCTCTCTCTCTCTCTCTCTCTCTCTCTCTCTCTCTCTCGCTCTCGCTCTCGCTCTCGCTCTCGCTCTCTCGCTCTCTCGCTCTCTCTCTCAGTCCTGGATACAGCAGGTCAGGAGGAGTTTGGAGCGATGAGGGAGCAGTACATGCGCTCAGGAGAAGGCTTTCTATTGGTGTTTGCACTCAACGACCGGGGCAGGTAATGGGAGTTAAGCGGAGCTGATTGGATTGGTTCATATTGGGTCAATCTGTATATGACACATTCCTTCCTGTGATCAGAATGCATATGATTGTGTGGTTCTTGACACCGTGCTGATTACTCCCTGTGTCCCCTGGCAGCTACCACGAGGTGCAGAAGTTCCACACGCAGATCCTGAGAGTGAAGGACCGGGATGACTTCCCCATGGTGCTGGTTGGAAACAAGGCGGACCTGGAGCATCAGAGAGTGGTCAGTACCTTCATGCAGCTTAATGGAGTCGCTTAGCTTTCCATTGTCCCTGCTTCCTGGAAAATACTGCAGTGCAAGTCAGGGAAACGGATCAGTTATTTCACAGGGTTTGGAAGTTTCAGGGAGTCTAAGAACATACAAATGTAAATAGAACCCCCCCTAGTGTCTTCAGATGGTATTCATTGTTCTGTAGGAGGAGCCTGGGACTTCAGATGTAGCTGTTGTGCAATCAGGTTCAGGTTCTTCATTTCTGTGACAATATAATCTTTGTTGAAGCCACTTTTGTATTCTCTAGGACAGGCTGTTTTTGTTTTCAGATAAACTGCTCAAGTCAAAAAGTCAAAGTCAACTTTATTGTCAATCTTTCACTTTGTGTACAGACAGAGAGATCGAAATACCGTTTCCCACAATCCTGAATATAAAAGTACAAATATTTATAAAAATATGTATAAAATATGTATATCCTATATATATACACAATCAACAGACAAATGTATACATGTGCACACATTAAGATAAAAACACCCACAACAATCAATATATACAAAATAACAGTCACTTCAATATCTTTGGGAATTATTGCCAGATTGTCCATAGCAGCGTAAAAAAGTGTCTGGTGCTGGATTTGAGTGTGTGGGGGTGTTAAAGTCCAGTGGGGGCAGGGGGGGGAGGGAGGGGAGAGAGTTCATCCTCCCGACAGCCTGGTTGAAAAAACTGTTCTTTAGTCTGGTGGTGCTCGACCTCAGGCCTCGAACCTTCTCCCTGAAGGCAGGAGGGTGAAGAGGCAGGTGGAGGGATGGGTGGGGTCACTCACAATGCTGAGTGCTCTGCGGGTGAGGCGGGTGTTATACAGGTCCAGGAGTGATGGGAGTGAGGCACCGATGATCCTCTCAGCTGTGTTCACTATGGGAGTGATGGGGGGTCAGATTTTCACAGATTAGAACAAACTCGAAACAGCGCCACAGTTTCTCCCCGCAGCGAGCCTCCAGTGTTGAAATGTCTGAGTTTTTGCTTTACGCTGTGCGCACTCCCGCGAGGTGCATGCATATCTCTGCGGGTATAGTATGCATAACACCGGCGCTAACAGTTCACGAGCATACTCTCTCCTCCACCCCCCCCCCCAGTTCACGAGCGTGCACCCGTGAACTGCACGCTGCACCAGGGGGCTGAGCACACATCCTTGGGGGGTCCCCGTACTCAGTGTGATGGTGCCTGATGTGTTGTTGCCGACCCGTACAGATTAGGGTCTGGCAGTGAGGAAGTCCAGCAGCCAGTTGCAGAGAAAGGGGCTGAGGCCCAGGTTTGTTAGTTTACAAACCAGCTGCTGGGGGATGATGGTGTTGAACGCTGAGCTAAAGTCTATGAACAGCATCCTAACATAAGAGTGTTTAGTGTCCAGGTGGGTGAGGGCTGGGTGGAGAGCAGAGGAGATGGCATCCTCAGTGGACCGCTTCGCTCAATATGCAAACTGAAACGGATCCAGGGAGGGAGGGTGGATTTGATTTGCTTCATGACTAGCCGCTCAAAGCACTTCATGATGGTGGAAGTCAGCGCTACGGGGCGGTAGTCATAGAAGCAGGAAGGTGATGACTTCTTCTGCACAGGTATGATGGTGGTTACCTTGAAGCACGAGAGAACAACAGCCTGGCTCAGGGAGATGTTGAAGATGTCTGTGAGGACATCTGTGAGCTCAGCTACACAGTCCTTTAGCACACGACCAGGAATGTTGTCAGGCCCAGAAGCTTTCCGGGTGTTAATCCTTAACAGTGTGCTCCTCACACTGCCTGGGGACAGACAGATAGCCTGGTCGTTGGGTGGAGGCGTTGTTTTCTGCGCACGTGTGCTGCTTGAGGTTGTTCAGCAGAGAGATGTCACTGTCACAGGTCTGTGGTGGAGGTTTGTAGTCCTTGATAGTCCTACCCTGCCACAGGCTCCGTGTGTCTCTGCTGTCACTGAAGTGAGCTGTAGTCTTCCGGGTGTACTGTCGTTTGGCTTTCCGGATGCCACGGGATAGGTCGGCCCTGGCTGCTCTGAGACCAGCTGGATTGCCCTCTCTGAAGGCAATGTTGCGGGCCCTCAGCAGCCTGTGGACCTCTCCTGTCAGCCATGGCTTCTGGTTGGCCCTGATGGTGATGGATCTGGTGTGGGTCACATCCTCTATGCATTTGGTGATGTAGCACGTAACAGTTTCAATATATTCCTGGATGTTGGTGGTGTTGTATGTGGCTGCCTGCTTAAACATGTCCCAGTCTGTAGTTTCAAAGCCGTCTTTGAGTGCAGCTGTGCTGTCCTCTGACCACACACGTACCTCTCTGGAAACTGGTTTGGTGACTTTCACTCGGGGTCTGTAGGCCGGTTTTTAGCAGTGAGGTGGTCAGAGAGTCCGATGTGAGGGAGGGGAGAAGCCTTGTAAGCTCCTTTTGATTGTGGTATAAACAAGATCCAGAGTATTGTTTTCTCTTGTTGGGAAATCAACATGTTGATATATGTTTGGCATGAAAGTTTTTAGGTTTGCATGGTTGAAGTCCCCAGCGACGATGAGAAAGCTGTCTGGCTGTGCTGTTTTTTGTTCAGATATTGCACGGTACAGCTCACCGAGTGCCTCCTCTCTGTCTTTGTTGTTGGGGCTTGGGGGAAGTAAACAGCTGCTAGAAGGATGGCGCTGATTTCCCCTGGGAGATGGAAAGGCCTGCACTTCACGAACATACACTCTGCCAGCGTTGAACAGTGTTTGCAGATAACCACAGCGTCCCTACACCAAGCATCACTGATGTAAACAATGACCCCTCCACTGCGGGTCTTCCCCCCCTAACCGTGGCTTTGTCTGAGCGGTAGCATGTTAGCCGGTCGAGCTGAATATCAGAGTCTGGGATGTTGTCATTTAGCCATGTTTCCGTGAAACATGGCTACACACAGCATTCTCTCACCTCACTTTGGGTCGCCCGGAGAAGTCTTATGTTGTCCATTTTATTATCCAGGGAGCCTACATTAGCCATGAGGATGCTCGGGATAAGGTGTGATGGAAGCCCAGGTTGCTTTGATTAGCGGCCTTCAGCTCATCTGCATTGTTGGCTCTCGTGTCTCTCATCTTCCTCTTGACAATACCCCATAGATTCTCTATAGGGTTCAGGTCAGGCCAGTTTGCTGGCCAATCAAGCGCAGTAATTCCATGGTCACTACTTTTGGCAGTGTGGGCAGGTGCCAAGTCCTGCTGGAAAATGAAATCAGCATCTCCATAAAGCTTGCCAGAAGAAGGAAGCATGAAGTGCTCTGAAATGTCCTGGTAGACGGCTGCGTTGACTTTGGACTTGAGAAAACCCAGAGGACCAACAGCAGCAGATGACATGGCTCCCCAAATCTTCACTGACTGTGGAAACTTCACACTGGACTTCAAGCAACTTGGACTGTGTGCCTCTCTTCCTCCAGACTCTGGGACCTTGATTTCCAAATGAAATGCAAAATGTACTTTCATCTGAAAAGAGGACTTTGGACCACTGAGCAATAGACCATCTCTTTTTCTCCTTAGCCCAGGTAAGACACTTCTGGTTCAGGAGTGGCTTGACACGAGGAAGGCTCAGTTGTAGCCCATGTCCTGGATAGGTCTGTGCGCGGTGGCTCTTGATGCACTGACTCCAGCCTCAGTCCACTCCTTGTGAAGATCCCCCAAATGTTTGAATGGCCTTTGCTTTACAATCCTCTCAAGGCTGCGGTTATCCCTGTTGCTTGTGCACCTTTTCCTACCACACTTTTTCCTTCCACTCAACTTTCTATGAATATGCTTGGATACAGCACACTGTGAACAGCCAGCTTCTTTAGCAATGGCCTTTTGAGGCTTACCCTCCTTGTGGAGGGAGTCAATGACTGTCTTCTGGACAACTGTCAAGTCAGCAGTCTTCCCAATGATTGTGAAGCCTACTGAACCAGATTGAGAGACCATTTAAAGGCTCAGGAAACCTTCACAGGTGTTTTGAGTTCATTATCTGATTAGAGTGTGACACCGTGAGTCTACAATATTGAACTTTTTCACAAGATTCAAATTTTCTGAAATACTGATTTTGGGGTTTTCATTAGCTGTAAGCCGTAATCATCAAGATTATCCCCCCCAATCGGCGCTCGTGAAAGTTTCTTTTCGAGACTGTGTCTCAGGGCTTCTTAACATTTATGAAACTATTAATGTTCCATACCCAATTAGCGGGAAGAAACTCCGCTAACTGACAATATGAACCATTTTTAGCTAAAAGAAACACAAGAGTAATACCTAGCCTCTGAATTAGCCCTGAGCGAAAAAATGCTAATTAATGCTAACGCACTTTTTCACAGAACTCACAGTAGAAATGCCCTTATTACTTATCGTAACTGCACAAACAAGATATCGACTAGCAAGCTGAGATTCCACAGATTCCATACATGTAGTGTCATCACTGTACGACCAGAATTCGCGGAGCTATCAGCCAGAAAAGAGAAAGAAAACAACATCCGGTTTCAAAACCATAACAATAATTACGTCTTACCTTTTGTTGATTTGTGATCAAAAGTTGTGTTCAACGGAATAAAAACGCTGCTCAAGGTTAATCCAATGTCTCTGTGTCACGTTGACATTTTTACTGATAATCCATCATCATATTTATGGCAATAAACTGGGTATAAAGTTTAGCAGTCCAGGGCTTCAACTTTCAGATATGCTTCATTTGCATCACTATCACTCCGCAATGGTAATGTTTACGTGGATTTGGGAACTGCCCATCGATTCTATTGGATCTAATGGTTAAAAAAAAGGTGTCAATCACCCAAATCGACCAATGGGTTCCAGAGATATGGTCCTGCGTAAAGTATATATATTTACACAGCAGACTCTACGCAGTGTTTACAACGTAAGGAAGCCGGAATTGCAGGACCCAGAGCGCACGGAGCACAGAGCGGACAGCAGATAACAGAGCAGAGCGCACGGAGCACAGAGCGGACAGCAGATAACAGAGCAGAGCGCACGGAGCACAGAGCGGACAGCAGATAACAGAGCAGAGCGCACGGAGCACAGAGCGGACAGCAGATAACAGAGCAGAGCGCACGGAGCACAGAGCGGACAGCAGATAACAGAGCAGAGCGCACGGAGCACAGAGCGAACAGCAGATAACAGAGCAGAGCGCACGGAGCACAGAGCGGACAGCAGATAACAGAGCAGAGCGCACGGAGCACAGAGCGAACAGCAGATAACAGAGCAGAGCGCACGGAGCACAGAGCGGACAGCAGATAACAGAGCAGATTACAAGATGTTTTTTTTACAACAGTTGTATTTGGATGGAATGAATACCTATAGTGATAATTCAAAGTAATAAAATGAGTTTTACAGTGAAAAAGGTCAAATGGAACTGATGGTTCCCAAATTACCCAGAGGTGAGTCCGCCTGGACTTTCTTTTTGCTAAATCTCTCTAAAAAGGTCAAATTTCACTTGTTTTGCATCAATCTTGATACAGGGTACTTATTATATGTTATAGTTTGGATTCCTAAAGCTTTTAGTCTACTATCCCATCATTCAAGGGTGGTTTTCACTATAAGTAATGTTTTTTTTTAGGCGGAGATTAGAATTTACATGTTTTTACTATGTTCCATCTGAATTTACTTTAAAATAAAAACATCCATATTGATTCTGACACTTCTACATCCAACTCACAGATGTAACCTTGCTTTGAGAAAAAAGATTATTAATTTACCCCTTTTAGAAGTGAAGTTTTTTTATTTATTTTTAATTAATTAATTAATTCAACAGGGACAATGCACATTGATTGACATTTCTGTAAATGCGCCAGAGTTAGCCAACAGGCTATTTTCCATCTGCAGTCCCTGGACAGATGTTGAAAGTCATCCTAAAAAAAAAGAAATTCACTTCAAATGACAGGTAAATACAATCAGTAAAACAACATTCAACATAGATGCTTATATTATGATAAAAGCATATATAAAAACATAAAAACAAAACTAAAAGACATATTCCCAAAGCAGACAGATAGCAACAGGTCAAGGCACATGTACAAACAGAGCGTTGTAAAGTGCAGATTATGTTAGTGTTGACAGAGCTGATTTTCCACTAACCATGTTTTAAATTAGATTTAAATAAAGTGCAGGTGTTTTGTTCTCTAATCTTTACTGGGATTGAGTTCCACTGTTGTGCAGCTTTAAAAGAAAAAGAAGATTGGCTGAATGAACTCTTCCTGAATGGAACAACGCAGTCTCCTCTTGTTGCAGCTCTTGTTGACCTACAGGTGTGCGTATGGTGATAAAATGTCTTAGCGGAGGTGAGGTAAGGCCGTGTATTATTTTGTACATGAGGCAAGCATTTGCATATCTCATTACATTTTCCCAGCTCAACAAGTTGTACTTTGTGAGTATTGAGCAATGATGAGAATAAACTGATTTCTTATCTACTATTTTAAGTGTTTGTTTGTATAATGATTCCAGGGGTTTAAGAGTGGTTGTACAGGCGGGATGTGAGCAGGTTGTTAAGCAGTATGTGACGTGAGATAGAACCATAGAGTGCATGTACATCAGAGCCGCCTCTGTTGACATGCAGTCTCTGGTAAACCTCACATTTGACTGAATTTGACCCTGTTGCAGACCTTTTTCACCTGAGCCTTAAAATTGACTCTTGAATCAATTAAGACCCCCAGGTATTTGTACTGTGAGACCACCTGTAGCCTCTCCCCTATAGATATAGTCATTTGTTGTGTTAATGGCATTTTCGAGCCTGAAACCTGAAAAACAGGCTCAGGGTTTAACAGGTTAAAACAAATAAAGCCTTGAAATATTTCACTTTCTGTGTAATGAATCCATATAATATATGAGTTTCACTTTTTGAATTGAATTAATGAAATAAATTAACTTTTCCACGATATTCTAATTTATTGAGATGCACCTGTATATAACAGGCCTAAATGACAATCTTTATTTGTATGCTTTAGTTTAGTAGATATCTACAAACACAGTCGATATTTTTCTAAAACCATTTAGTGCTTCACATAATAAAATACACAACGGCTGTATCCAGCTGTAGGTGTGTGTGGTACAGTGTGTAGGTGTGTGTGGTACAGTGTGTAGGTGTGTGTGGTACAGTGTGTAGGTGTGTGTGGTACAGTGTGTAGGTGTGTGTGGTACAGTGTGTAGGTGTGTGTGGTACAGTGTGTAGGTGTGTGTGGTACAGTGTGTAGGTGTGTGTGGTACAGTGTGTGCGTAGATGCGGCGGACAGACAGGTCGCAGTTGGTTTGGTGTCCTCTGCTTACTTTTAATACTTGTAAATAAAACTTTTGGCTCGTAATTTCATTTCCCCATTGTAGTGAGTGGGGGGGTATATCCAGTCTCTGATTGCGTTACGTTATTATGAGAGTGCTGTCATACTTGTTTGATTCTGAAATTGTATATATTTATATATATATGTGTGTGTATATGTCCGCATCTGTAGCCTGTTATTGTCTCATTATACCGCACTGTCAATGAATTCAAAGTAAATATATAAGTCATCATGAACACATCTGTCCATCAGACAGAGGGCTGCTGTGCCTCCTGTCATCATTAATGGACGTCGCTTTTATATGACCGCAGTTAACATTCCTCTGGTTGTTCTGCTACCTGGGGAAACTTTCTTTACCTCTTTTGTTGAGTTGCCTCTCGGTGAAAGGCTCTCTGGTGAGCAGTGATGCAGTGTATGTGGAGGGCTTTCAGTGTGAAAACAAAACACAACCTGCCAGCATGCTTAATTGTATTATTAAATGAGCTTATATGGAACCAATCTAATAACTGTTGGTGTCATTATTTTACAGCCATCAACATAATACTCCATAATAATCAGTTAATGCAAAAATGTTTGTATGGCCTCTACTCCAACAGCAACAGTAACCTGGTAGATTTGTTTTATTTAGTTATGTTGAAAAGCTAACTTATGGCGCTTTTCCACTGCAGCACGTAGCACGGGGTAGTTCCGGCTCAGGGCTACTTTTTCACCTTTTTTCTGGCCCTCCAAAATCGAGGTTCTTACCGGGCCAACAACCGGGCTGAATATGCTAAACTAGTGACGTAAACACTCTCGACTGCTGATTGGTCAGAGAGAATAGCTGGCAAGGGGGCTACAACTACAACAACATGAACATATTTTACTGTGATTTAATAGTAATACACGTTTCAAAATGATGCCGAAGTAACAACAGACTGATAACGGTCTGCAGACAAGACGGCAGGCGAAAAACCTTTTAAAATGCGTGTTTTCTGAATGGAGATCGGATCGATCAGTCTAAGCTAACGTTGTATGCTCCGTCCACACTCACAACAACGGCCTATACAGACATAAATAAACCAGTGACTGTATTCACCATGACACAGACAGTCTGTGGTTTGTACTTGTGTAACTTTTGTCTAGTTTCTGAACAGATATGAGGAGCTGTGAGCTCTGAGTGCTAACGGCTAACGGCTGATGTTTTGGTTTTTGTGGTTCGCATTGAAGATGACGTCACGGCAGTTTTACGCAGTGTCGCTGTGCCCGCCGCACAGCCGATCGCCCCGCCTACACTGCGTTACTATAGTTACTACCCCAGTTGGTAAACTGTAATGGAAACGCAGCATAAAGTGAGCCTGGCCTACCAAGGCCTAACCATACCGTACTAAGCCGCGCTAGGTCCTGCAGTGGAAAAGCACCATTAGTCCCAGACATATATCCTCCTATATTTGTATAAAAAAAAGCCTTATCTCTCATGGGGACAGAGAGTGACAGGAGGAGGGGCCAGTGGATCAGATTGAGTTTGCTCTGTGTGCAGATCTCCAGGGAGGATGCCCAGGCGTTCACCAGAGAGAACAGGATCCACTACATGGAGGCTTCTGCCAAGAATCGCCACAACGTGGATGAATGCTTCTTGGAGCTGGTACAAATTATCAGGTGCAGTTGGTCAAATATATGTTTAAAGGCTTGTTAGATGCCAAAACACTGCACACGGGTTTGTACAGGGATCCTGCGGGTCCTTAAAAAGTCTTGAAAGCATGAAATCATTACTCTGAAATGAAGGCCTTGACTGGTATTGATGACTTGATTTAATTAATACATACATTTCTAATACATGGGAAGTAAGAATGTATTAACCTTTTATTTATATTTGATAGAAATATCAAAATATGTAGTTGGTTACATCTACTTTTAACCATAATTGAAGCTAATGCCTTTTAAGGTCCAGGGCCCAGGAGTTCAACACTTGTAATCCCTATCTGATCAAATCAGATTTGGATTTTGGGTAGTTCAAAACCAAACAACAGGATTAGGATCACTTTGATATCCCATCAGATCAGGAAATCCAATCCAAGCTTTAATCTGGATCAAATCTTCAAAATGGGTAGTTCAACCCGACAACACAGGATTGGGATCAGTTTGATCCCAAAAAACTGGATTATCTTGATCCCACCAGAGGGGTGGATCTCCAGTGGATTAGCAGAGCTAAATGTACTGTACAATTGATTTTTAAATATGTTTCAATTTAAATAAGATGGCAACGTTTGTTAACTGAAATAATACACAATTTTTAGCCTTCATGGGAAATACATTTTATTTTTGCTCACGTTTGTGGTGGCCTATTTTGTTTTCAACCAAATGTTGATGACATAAATGTTTATGCTCGTAAAAGTATCACAACAAAGATTGTCAATCACAAATGTAATTTAGATTAAAGTAAAAATATCTTCAACAAAAAAAAAGTCCATCATCTGTCATCACCTTTCAAATTAAAAAATATAATTAGACATTATAGATGTCTCTGCAATGTGGTCTCTTGTCTTCCTTGTATTATCTTTCATACCCACTAGATGGAGATCGGTAGGGTTAAAGCTCTGATATTCAGGATCTAGTCATCTTGAAAAGTCTGAATCTGGATCAGGGTGATCCTATCCTGAATTGCTTTGAACTACAGGGACAAAATCTGGCCGACTTGTCTGATCCTGGATCACAAAAAATGAGATTTCAAAATCTGATCGGATCTGATTGAGATTAAACGTTTTGAACTCCTGGGCCCTGGAGATCAGTATAGCATCCAAAATGGTCTTACCTTAGAATCTGATTAATACATTAAAAAATAGATGAATATACATGAAACCCTCTTTACTGGTTACACACATGTTCATGGACACACACATAGTAACATTTGACCTCTGCATTGGGGAGCACCTTGCTCACGGACTTGAACCAGCGATCATCTGGTTCCAAAGCCAAGTCTACAGACTCAGCTACCAGCAGAAAACAGTGGCTACAGTACGGGACTATACAGTTTAACGCTAAGATTCTTCTTACTTAGACCTTATTAAGCTGTTTGAACCTGCATTTATTAATATTCAGTATATCAAAAGTCAATCAAATTACACTTTGTAATATCAAGGGGACACCCCCACACACATGACCAGGGAGTCAACTTTAGAAAGACTCATTCCTATCTTTCTATTTATATTCTTCATCCACAGAAAGTTTCAGGAGATGGAGAGTCCTCCCCCCCAAGCTCATCACACAGGGAAAAAGAAGAGCGGGGACTGTCCCTGTGTCCTGCTCTGAGCACTGTTACTATGGACACCAGAGCCCCGCCCCTCTACAACTTGTCCAAAGAAGAGAGAGAGAGTGTGAGTGTGTGTGTGTGCGTTTGTGCGTGCGTGCATGTTGGGAGAGAAGGGGGGGAGAGAGAGTTAAGGTGCGTCCGATTCTTACCAAATGGTTTCATTTGCACTTTTGTCAAAAGCAAGTTCTATATCAGTGTAATCTTTTTGTAATGAGTGGATGTAAAGGGATCAGTAGCAGGTTAGTAGTCAGTAGTATAGTTAGTTTGGTGGAGAAACAGGAAGTCAGTACTGTGTTTTAATTGTCACACATGCAGACCGCACACAGTAAGATTTAGACTGTACATTTAACTTCTCCTGTGTGAGTAGCAGTGGGCTGCAGAGGCCCGGGGTTGGGGGGGCAGTGTGGGGGTTTGCTGCCCAGCTCCCAAGCCAAGTCCCTACATACTGAGCAACTGCTGCTCCCCCAATGCTTGCAAAAAGAAAAAATCACATTCACAATATGTTGTAGAAATGACTGCTGTTAGGCAGTAGGAGAGTACAGCAGGGACATCATCATCACAGCTACACAAACAACTATTCCAAAACGGTGTCTTCAGTGTTAAATAATTGACATGCCAATGTAATATTTCAACTTGCTCATGAAAGGAAATCAAGGCCAAGCCACAACATCCTTGAGCTGTCCGACCCAAAGCCTTCCTGTCTGTCTTCTTCTGCTGTTCCCTTTAGTGTTTACTTCCTGTCTGTCTTCTTCTGCTGTTCCCTTTAGTGTTTACTTCCTGTCTGTCTTCTGCTGTTCCCTTTAGTGTTTACTTCCTGTCTGTCTTCTGCTGTTCCCTTTAGTGTTTACTTCTTAGGTTCATCTCAATGTCCCTCCTCGACTCCTCTCTTCCCCTCCTCCGGGACTTGACCCGGAAATCGATCAAGACACGCCATGTTGAAGGACGTCCCAATACTTGAAATGCACAGTTGAGGAGGGGTGAGGGAGGACGCTTCCAGAGGAGACGAAAGGGAGGATACACGAGAGCAGCTGCACAGCCTCTGCTCACTGCAGCTGATCTTACCGTTAAAGGAGGATCAGAGTCATTCAATGTTTAAAGTGCTTCATTAGGAGTAAAATATATTAAATCTCTTAAACGAATGAGGAGATCATACTCTATAAAAACATTAAAGTGTGTGAAATATACTTACAAATTCAATAATAATGTTTTGATTATAAAATAGTAACTTAGAGTTCTTACTTGTGGTTTTTTGATGCATGTGTGGATAAAACCCACAGCACGTCAAACATTTAGGATATATACAAATACAGGAAGCATAACTAATACATATGTGAGTGATTTGTGTCTCGTCTGTAGGACAAATGAAATAACAACATCCAATACAAAAGTTGATCTGAAACAAGCTCAAATACCATAATGAGATGAATCCATCAATTATTATTATAGTTATGATTATAATTATAACTTAAATGAAATGTTATACCTGGAAAAACAAATACAGGACCGAAAATAATACATAGAAAACTATAATAAAAGAGATGAATGGAAGAGATGGACGAAATCATTTCAATGAGAAACTGAATCCCAGGTTTGAAGGGATTGATGTGAAGTCCAGTGCCAGGTGATGCACTGCGCCACCAGAAGTAAAGGGCGTTGTTTATAGAGACGCTGGAGTGAACGAGGACATCCCAATGAATACCTGAGGACTCCTCTGTCCTCGCGTCTCTTCCTCGTGTCTCTCGCTCGCGTCTTACGGAGGCGGAGCTAAGACGCAAGGAAGGGACGCGAGTGAGGGAAAGGAGGAGGTGAAATATTCAATTGAGATGAGCCTCTTGTCTGTCTTCTTCTGCTGTTCCCTTTAGTGTTTACTTCCTGTTTGTCTTCTTCTGCTGTTCCCTTTAGTGTTTACTTCGGTCTTCTGCTGATTTCTCTGTCTTTCAACTTCTTCCTTCTCTTCTTAAGTTTCCTTTTTTCACTGGGTACAGTTAGCCATCAAGGATCCAAAGTTGTGTGCTATCTGCAAATATAACACTGAATTTTCAAAAAGTATTCCACAGTGTCTCTGATGAAGTATCATAAATGAATGTGTTTTTTTCACTCCTGCTGATGTTAAATTGATCTAAATTCTTTCTGCTGTTGATGTGACTGCACATTAGGGCGTCCATAGCAACACTCTATCAACAAACAGCAGGCTGCTGAATGTCCAAATTGAACAACCAGATTTGAGTATTCAACGAAGCTGTGAAAAAAACCAAAGATAATCCTTTCAACTGCATCTCATGGTCTTCACGTGTTCTCAGTGTTATTTGTTGGCAGGTGTTATCATGTCACTGACGTTTCTTACCTAGCTTACATGATACATGACAACTAAGCCATCTCCATGACAACTGAGCAAGCATTATTCACCAATGATAACTCTGTTTTTAATCTCACAGAAGCCTAAATGCTGCCCAGCCCCACATAGCATTTCATCAGAAACATAAACCAGTCCAGGTGTGCTTGTTGGTGGTCCAGTCTTTTGTCATTTGGCAGTCTTACTCTACAGACGTGAGAAATCCTTCTTCCGACCCCGAACTGTGCAGTAGCCCCATCCCACCACTGGAGGTCACTATTTCAGCCAAGGGAAGAGCAGCCACCCCCCACCCCCTTCATAAACGCACTCAGACAAGGCCTGTTAGTCTTAGTACAGTATATTATTATTGTTGGAGCTCACTTCAGGCCAGAGGTGTAGGGACTGAATGTCCAGAGTTAAGCCCCCCGTGCTCAGATATGTATTATTTTATTAGTAGTGGGTCCAATTCACATCTTTAAGGACCTTACTGCTCTTTATTTGAAAGAAAAAATATAAACACAATGATGCACACCAAGAAAAATACTTTGTCAAGTTTACTTGAAAAGAGAAAAAAATCCCTCACAGTGTAGCCAAATATCTGCGTTCTTATTTGTCATGTGTAGTGCTTTGGGCAGTTTTGTTTTACTTATTTTCATATTAATATCTATCGTACAACCTGCAATTCAAACCACTTTGTTTTTATTATTGAAAAAAAAGTGAAATGTATTTTATACATCATTAAAACATTTATCCTAAGATTTATTTCTGTCGTTTCTTGTATGACTTACAGGTGTTGGTTTATGAATAGAATTTCAGATGTTGTATTGGAAATGAGATGTACGCTTAGTGATCTGAGTAAAGTTCGGACACTACAGTCCGTTTACCTTTGTTTCAATTATTTTTCTTTCTTAAAACAGCTAACAGGAAAGTGACTGCCATGCTTTTTGTTTTTGCCTTTTGTCTCTCTGATTGGAGGGGCGAGATTTTTGGAAGTTAAAGGTCTCCTATTATACTGTTTTTAGGCATATATTATAGGTCTCAGATATATAAAAAACATGTCTCTGAAGCAGTGGCGGCTGGTGCTAAAAATGTTGGGGGGGGGGCGCAAAAAAAACCAGCCTACAACACCACTGTAATGTTGAAGGAAATGTATTGTGATTCATGGACACTAGCACTAATATAAATGTTGCCCTCCTTTCCTTCTGGCCTGCACATTTCTCAATGACTTTCTGATTAAAGTCAGTCTTCTCTTTCACCAGACTCTTTTCCATTGACAGCATGGCCAATGCATTCAACCTCTCCTGGGTCATGGTGTTTCGAAGAAAGGTTTTAATCCTTTTCAAAGTGGAGAAGCACCTCTCAGCTTCCGCCATGGTCATGGGTGTGGTGATGAGGATCTTTAGGAGAGTAACAGTCTCTGAAAATAATTTGTCAAGATTATTCTCCATGAACAACTGGAATAGGTCCATAGCACCACGACAGGCTTTGAACTCTTCCTTGTTGTAGATGAGACTAAGCTCTGTCTTCAGCTTGCTTCCATTAAGCATTGGGTATGCCTTCAAGGTGTTCCTCAGTGCATCTTCAGGAAATGCCATCTCTTCAAACCTGTCCCCCTGCAGCAAGGTGGCACTGACAAGGTGGTTTGTGAAGGAGAAATGTTCCCTGGTGTGTCCCAGTATGGCATCACAGACCTACAGAGAGAAGAAGAAAAAAAGTAATATGTAAAGATGACAAAATGCCCGTTTCACCTAAAGTTACCAACAGGCAACAGTTACATTTCTAGCACTAGAGATGCAGAAGTGTGCTCAGAAGGTACAAAAAACTGTAACAACCCTGTTTCTTCACAAGCATTCAACTATTTCTTTAAAACCTTTTTCCACATGGCCTTTACTCAAAACATTCAATAACTTCTACTAATGAATCACAGGTTAGTTTCACCAAGAAAAGATACATTTTTAACTGTTCAAATGTTAGCTATTTATAAGTAGCTATTTTGGTTCAGCTCCTTGCAGTCACATTTCATGCTTTTCATATTAGTTCCCAATTAACACATTTCATCAAAGCAAAGTAGGTCAAAAGTTGGCTAACATCCTTCCACAGAGATTACAATAGAAATACTGTCACTGATCTCTACACCATAAACTCACCTCTGCTGCAATCCTTTCATGGTCCTCTGGACTGAGTGCCCGATGCCTCTTTGTTGGCTGAGAGCCACTGCTTTGCTCAACCATGGAATGGTCAGAATCTCTGCGACGGACAAAGATAATTTATAATAACAATAATGAGAAGATGGCTGCATTGTCTTTTGGCTCCTCTCCAACTTTGCCCTTTTTCGTATTATTTCAGTGTTTGTTTACTTTTTGTCGTGTGCGACATGCGAGCCGACCACACTAACTCTGCTATACAATATAGCAGAGAGGAACTTCTACAGTTCAGAAACGTTGTGGACAACAGCCCACCGTCAGACAATGGAGATTCGCCATGGCTGCCTGTTGCTGTCCTACCTGAGAGACGCAGGAGGAAGACAAAGCGAGGGTCCCGGGCCGGGCTGCTGGTCAGACTGAGGAAACGAGAGAATCGACCCCCTCTTCCAAGTATTCTTCTGGCTAATGTTCAGTCAATTGAGAATAAACTGGATGAACTCAGAAGCCGGATTGCTTTTCAACGGGAAATTAAGAACTGTAACGTGATAAAAAAAATTGCACGATTCGAGAGCAGCCAGGCTGTGGGGGCACAGAAGGATCAGGAGCCTTGCCCTTTTGTTTTAAACAGGGCAGATGTGTGTAAATCCTTTAAAAGGGTTAACCCACACAAGGCTCCTGGACCTGATGGCATCCCTGGCCGTGTTCTCAGGGTGTGTGCAGTTTAGTGTTAATTTCGTCAGCTATTTTTTTATTTTGTTTTAGTCTTAGTCCTGTGTTAAATTTCCTTTTTAGTTTTAGTCATATTTAGTCACCTTCATCCTGTTTTTATTTAGTCAAGATTTAGTCGACTAAAAGTCTGAGCATTTTAGTCTTATTTTAGTCGACTAAAACAGTACATATTTTAGTCAAGATTTAGTCGACTAAAAGTCTGAGCATTTTAGTCTTATTTTAGTCAAAGAAAACTAATTATTTTAGTCTACTTTTTGTCAATGAAAACTGTTGAGTCTTTTTTAGTCATCAGATTATATAGAACATTTCAGTCAAATTAGTCTAGCCAAAACCAATAATTTGTCATTTAGTCAAACTTATTTCACAATAAGATGATATCTTGTCCTTATTTGATGAAAAACACAGGTTGAATGATTAAGAATGCAGCTTTGCAGAGAGTATCTGGTCAGGTTTGTGGTGTTTTTACCAGCTGTGTTAAGGCTACATTGCTTCCCTTCTGATAAAACAATGCATTCGCTTTTTTTCTCAGCCTCATTGTAGCGAAAATGGGCCCAAATATCACATCGTTTCTTTCTCCCAAGCAGTGGTGGCGTTAGACTTTTTCGTTGTCAGTCATTTTGACGGACAGGATCGTAATATTTCCGTCATAATCCATTATTACCCGTCGAGTGCACAATTTATCACTCACTCGCGCTGACGGGGGGGTATTCGGTTAACGCGAGTGCGACCACTGCTCCCAAGCCCTGTTGTTGCCATTTTATTTTCTGTTAAATAAGGTTAGTTAGACCATGAGTTAGACCCGAGTCTTCCTGACAGTTCATATTGTGCCGCTGCCCGGTGTAATTCAAATGTACCGCTGCGCGCAGCACAGACACACAGCTGCTGCCCAGCCGCAGCACCGGAAATGGAACTGCTGGGAGAAAAACTGACTTTCGGAGATGTAACGTTATCTTTAATAATATTTCGTCTCCTCATTTTTCGTCAACGAAAGTAAAGAGAGATTTTGGCATAGTTTTTATTTAGTAAACTACATTTTCGTCTCGTCACTTTTCGTCAACGATATTGCATGATGATTTCGTTACAGTTATTGTTTACTGCCGTCGGTGCCGTCTCGTCATCGTCTCGTTTTCGTCATGGAAAAAAAGGTCGTTGACGAACATATTTCGTCATAGTTTTAGTCAACGAAATTAACACTAGTGCAGTTCAGCTGGCAGAGGTGTTCACAGACATCTTCAACAGGTCCCTGTTGCAGTCTGTAGTCCCCACATGCTTCAAACACTCCACCATCGTTCCTGTCCCGAAAAAGACAATAATCACCTGCCCCAACGACTACCGCCCAGTAGCACTCACCTCCATCATCATGAAGTGCTTTGAGCGGTTAGTCAAATCATTAGGCGCTTTCACACCAAGTACTTTTCCCAGGGATAGTTCCCGGAAATCTTTAGTTCCGGAACTATCTAGTAGATCGCGTTCACACCGGAATAACTCCCTGAGGGAGGATTAGGCAAATGAAGAAATGAAGCCGCTGACGTCACTTCTTCTTCTTCTCCTTTGGGTTTACTGGCAGGCCGCAAACAACTTCACGGCGTATACTGCCACCCGAAGTCCCCGGCCGGAAGTCCCCGGAGTTGGGGACTGAAGCTTTCAGAGTAAATCGCCAGAAGCGCCGACACCTCCTCATCACTCCACCACTCCCATGTTTTCTTTTTTATGTTGCCATAAGTTAGTCTCTCTCCGTTGGTGCGCTGGGCTAATGCTAATGCTAATAATGCTAATGCGAGCAAATAAAATGGCGGCTTCACAAAGCTTTTCAGAGTTTTACGGGGCGGGGTTTGCAATTCGCCCAGCCAATCAGAAATTGGAACCTTTTCCTCCCCAGGAAAGTACCACCTCTCTAGCAGGGACTGAAAAGGGGTGAAAAGGTTCCCGAAAAAAAGTTCTAGTTCCAGATCTTTTTGGTGTGAACGCAAAATCCCAGGAACTATTGGAACTATTCCTGGGAAAAGTACTCCGGTGTGAAAGCGCCTATACATCACCTCCTCTCTCCCTGACTCTCTGGACCCCCTGCAGTTTGCCTCCAGAGCAAACAGGTCCATAGACGACGCCATAGCCCTCACCATCCACACTGCCCTCTCAAACCTGGACCAGAGGAACACATATGTGAGAATGCTGTTCATTGATTACAGTTCAGCTTTCAACACCATTGTGCCCTCCAAGCTGGTCATCAAGCTCAGAGACCTCGGGCTCAACAGCGCCATCTGTGATTGGATTCTGAACTTCCTGACGGCAGACCCCAGGCAGTGCGGGTGGGAAACATCACATCCTGGCGGACCCTCACTATTGCGGTAAGCGTGTTGTCACTTCCGGTTGTTGTTGTCACCTCCGGGTATCCTGTGTGTCTGTTCTGCTGCTGATAGCTTATATTATCTTAACTTAAATCGATTGTGTTACAATTCTTGATCACAGCAGCTACCTGACGTTGTAATCACACGTTACTACAGCTTAACCTGTTAAGCCCGGAGCCTGTTTTTCAGGTCTCAGGCTCGAAAATGACATGCCCAGAACAATTGACTATATCTTCACTTCTAAAAGGCGTAAATTAATAATCTTTTTTCTCAAAGCAATGATAAACCTGTGAGTTGGATGTAGAAAAGTCAGAATCAATATAGATCTTTTTTATTTTAAAGTAAAAAATAAAAACATTACTTATAGTGAAAACTACCCTTGAATGATGCGATAGTAGACTAAAAGCTTTACATAACATATAATAAGTACTCTGTATCAATATTGATGCAAAACAAGTGACATTTGACCTTTTTTAGAGAGATTTAGAAAAAGAAAACCACTTCTGGGGTCATTTGGGTGCATTTTCCATATCTATGGCCCCCC